AAAACAACCACAAAGGCGTTTACATTGAGATTATGCCAGGAAAATGAACATTGCATGACAATTGATTTATTTAGTCTCATAATAATGGCAAGTGTCACGCCCCGCTCCGTCCGCTCCTAGTGTGTGCCACGCCCCCTCATTATCCACGTGTGCTTTCCCGATCGTGCCCAGCTGTTCCTTGTTGTCTCGGCTTGTCTTTAGTATTTAGTCCGTGTCTGAGTCAGTCTTCCCGAGATCCGTCATTCTGTTATGATGGGTGAGTGAGCGAGCCGAAAAACAGGCGAGGTAATCCGTTAATGCAGGTAACCAGGGTTTATTCACGAAAGACAGGACAGAGACATCTACAAACGTTAATGACGGATCTCGGGAAGACTGACTCAGACACGGACTAAATACTAAAGACAAGCCGAGACAACAAGGAACAGCTGGGCACGATCGGGAAAGCACACGTGGATAATGAGGGGGCGTGGCACACACTAGGAGCGGACGGAGCGGGGCGTGACACTTGCCATTATTATGAGACTAAATAAATCAATTGTCATGCAATGTTCATTTTCCTGGCATAATCTCAATGTAAACGCCTTTGTGGTTGTTTTGGTTTTTCAAGAAGTCAAGTAAGTTGAGTAGAGCAATGTGTTCATATCAGATACCTCTAAACTTTATGTATCCACCTGCTGTCGTCCCAGCAACCCATTTGCCCGAGTGACAGGAGGAACCCCACTGACTGGGAGAATCGTCAAGAAACTCCGGAGTGCGACAGCAAATATCCACATCTTCAAAGTTCATTGTAAAATCCATCATAGACATCCTGGAAAATGTACAACCATCTCATTCATCTGTTCAGGTAACAGGTAACAAAATAATTTATTGTTAATTGAGTTTCTCCTTTTTTAAAATTTTGATTGTAACTTTTATTGAAAAAGTGATTGTTGACACATGTATGTACGAGGCATATTACACAATTAGATTTTTAGATCAGTGTCATTTTCTTTTAGATCAGTGCCATTTTCTTTCAGAAAGTCTTACCAGAATTCTCCATCCTTACAGATCTGCAAGCAGCTCATCCTATCTTCTACAGTAACTGTATTCCACGATGAAGATCTGATATACAAAATACAGAATACACTTTTTGCTACAACTATAAGGATCTATTATTTGCATCATTTTTGTGCAATTATGAATTTAAAAATAAGAATCATTCATAATCAAAGAAACTAATAATATTAGATAATTAGATAGTGACATTAATAATCCTACGACAGCATGGTGCTCATCGTCCAAGGCAAAATGAAATACATACCACTGTTATATAATAAATATTATTATATCATATTATATATCATAGTTTTATCTTATGTTTATATATAAATATTTTATATTTATATATATACACATATACACATACTCACCTATCACTCCAATCTCCATTCCATTCTCCTCTACCCCATGGATTCCAGATTCGAACCAGATTCACGGGTCTTCCATGGCTCATGACCTGCATTTGTTAGACATGTGATATATCCACCCATTTCTACAAGAAGAGTGCACACGCAAACACACAGACAATGAGGAGGAAGTGCACACATAACGAGCCGGGCCAGTAACTACGTGAGGCTATAATGCTACCAACTAAGCCACCACAACTGTGTGTGTATAGTCCTGCTATAAAGCGACTAACGCTTTCCCGGAAAAACCTCATGTTCACTAAAATCACAATATCCAATGGGAAACACAGGGTTAGAGGAATGCGACTCTAAAACTTAGTAACTTACGCCAAACGAAGTTAACATGAGTACAGTCTAGAAGATCGAAGCAAATGTAAGTGAATTATTATAAAACGTTGATGTTTTCATATTATAATTTGCCAGATGTTTTTAGATTTTTAGAATCTAAAACTTTGACGTGTGCAATGCGTGGATGTACAAAAAGTCTCGACTCTTTCACATTTCAGACATCCTACCTCTCAGAGAAGTTACGGGAGTCTCCCGCGTGCTGATAGCGACTCCCTCACGGACATTGTGTTTAACAGAGCGCGCGCGAGAGTGCAATCGACCAACCAGGCTCCATAGAAACGGTATAATTCTGCTACTGTAAAATCTCTTTAAATGCAGTAAGTCCCTTAAGGTTTTTCCTTAACTAAGGAAACATTTTAAGGAATTCTGTGCAACACCCTTAAATAAATCCGTCAGCTAAGGAGAAATGAAACGTCAGGTGTCATAATTAAGTTGTCCAATGCTACCGGCCCCAGAGCTAATCTGGAATGTTTGGAGAAGGAGGGCTGGTGTCACGGAGCAGTTGTCAGCTGTCAGGGGTCCGGGAGATTCCGGGAAAAGATCTAGAACCAATTTGTTAACAAATCGGATCCATTTCGATAGCTGGTCTTGCGTGCAAGTAGTGTTTCTCGCTAAGGCCATATCGCGTTGTATTTAACGTAGTGCTTTTTTGTCCGACAGAAAGTCGCGGAAATACAAATGCGATTCCGCGTTGTGTTCGACTTGGGTACTAATACATCAGTCGCGTTAGAACAGATTTGTGGTGTCACAGTAATAACTGTGTTGTAAAAAAATTATGTATAATATACGAACACATATACACACACGCACATTTGATAAATCGCCCTTTACTTGACTGGGCTGAAATAATAGAGTAATATACTATTACTTATGTATCGATTAATCACAAAGTAAGTCTTAGTTACCGATCTGATGTTAATCCATCATTAATAAATAGTGACGCATATTTTATCTCAAGCAGTTGCTATATTTGATACTATATCTGTTAATTCTGTAAACCTGAATTAAGGAGCAAGTAATGAATAACTCAAGTGAAATATTGATGTCATGCTTGTTCATCATTAATGAACCGTGATTCATCTTTAATGTTCTATATTTAGAATGTTCTATATCTATATATGCATCTATATTTGTTCATGATTTGTTCATTATTTGTACTAAGTATCTGTGTGCCACATCAAGTAAAGTGTTACCAATAAATAATTAATATCTATTTATAAGTTGTTCATTTTTCCTGCATTTTTAATACCAACATACCTGTGCAACTCCAGTGATAGCATAGGCATGACCCTGCACTATCCCATTGGGTAATTCCACATTTTCATGAGTTGCCTGAAATCAATAACATGATTTTATACAATGTATCAAAATTAAATGAGCATGCTTTTCCAAACCGGAGGAGAGCATTTCATCTTTGAATTCTAAACATGGCAGGTTGGGTGTGATCCTGCATTTATAACAGAGACAAATAAGAAAAAAATAGCTGCACTTGAACACTCACCCCTTGAGCAGTCCCACACCCCATTAGGGACTTAAATTTCACAGCCCTGTTCATGAGATCCCAAAGATTTGGGGGTGCTTCCTTCAGCTTATACATCACATGGACCCCTCCAGTGAAGTCCATCATGGCTTCTGACACATTCCCAGCTTTCAGGTCTGAGTATGACCCACACACTCTGAGACAAATACATGCAAATTGAAAGGTTAGCCAGTATTTAGCCAGTATTTAGCCAGTGCCAATTGTTTTTTCATTAGACTAAGGGTTGCTTTCTGTGATATAGATAAACCAGGCATTCGAGTGGTACGGAATCCAAGGTGACCTACTTGGCGTAGGCCTTTTCTAGCAAGGCAGCCCAGAACTCATTTTTAGTTGTTGGATGAACAAAGATTAAGTTTCCATCAATTGTTGGCAGCTTATCGTCGATCACGACATCCACCCACGCTCCAAATCTCCAGAACTGAATAAAAATGTGAGTAATAATAGACATGATGGACATTGCTTTTAACAAGATCATCTTGCAGTAATATGTACAAACAGTACGGCTTTAAGCCTGTTACCCTGAAGTGAAATATCCCAGCATAATCTCTCTGAAATCCTTGGTCATTCGGCACCACTTTTTGCAGCATCTGCGGTTGAAATGTTAACGCTCCGACAGACGCCAGAAACCAGCAGTCACCTGCAAACAAACAGAGGCCCAAAGGATGTTCGTCAGAAAATACATAAGCATTCAATCAAAGCATTATTTGTTATGCCAAGCCTGTAGCCAGACATGAATATGGGGAGTGCAGCAAATTTCGTGGGGGGGGATCAAATTTATAAGCTTATTTTACTACGTGGATACATATCTGGTGGTTGGGAGGGAACAGATTCCTGGGAGGAGATACAAACCCCTAATTGATACATATATGCTCAGTGTGACCCTATACTGATAGAGTGCCAGGAAGAGGAACGAATTAGTGTATTGTTATTTATAGATAAGTAACTGTAGTCTATATTAATTCTAATTATTACTACTGGTGAAATACTAATTTCTACTGCGCTCATTCCACTGAATAATAATAATAATAGCAAAATCTTATTACCCAAACATCCTTGAACGATGTCAAATCTTGAAACTCCATCCACAAATAAGCATGGAGATGCTACCATTTTCTGAAAGAATCAACACTTTTTATCAGTAAGAATCTAAATAAAAATACAAATTGCTGTACAGTTAAGACAAACAGTTATAGCATTTGACAGTTCATGATCTCTTTGATTAACATCATACTCACATCTTAAAATTTCTATTTTTATTAGAGCACCGGCTAGCATACAGTTGTGTTACTCAGAATACTTCCAGATATTGTACCGTTAGAACATTGTGCTAAATTGGTTGTAGTTTATAAACAGGAAATTAAGTCAGATATTTGTTTAAGCAGAGAGATGGTGTTGTGACTCAATGTTTATTTAGTTGTCTGAAATAAAACTGATTTAATAATTTCATGATTTCCATTTGGTACAATGTCAACCTGTGGTGGTGGGTAGCTAAAGCAATGAGGCGGTAAGATAATCAATCTTACAATATTACAATAATGATTTTGTTTCTAAAGAAAAGAAATAACGTGATTTTAAATGACAATAACCTGCTACCAATGAGTTATTCAAAGTTGTGGACATCTCTAAAACAGAGAAGGCACTAGGACCACCCGCTCTATGGACCATCCACCTCTGATGTCCACATTATTTTTCTTTGGAATTAAAAGCAAAATCACCAGTATTTTATTGTGTCCTCCTTACTATTATAGCTAAAGAACTTCCAGTGTACCGTCTGGTCTGTTGCTACAGTTCTTACTCTTGAAAGAGATGATATCACACATTTCTAAGAAAAACTTTACTTACATGTGGTCTTTTCCATTTTACTCTTGCCATGTCCTCACGTGACAGCAGTTTAGGGCCAATGATACTTCTGTCTGGGGGAAATGTGCCGTCAATAAACCTCAGTCTGTTCTTCAGACACTGGTCCCGTAGCCAGTAGAAGTCTTGGCCACGAAATTTCACAGGGTCAGTCACAGTGCCCATCCCACCCTCCTGGTTCCGGTCCTTGATTATGTTCAAACACACACCGGGGGGAGGCATCTTTGCATACAAATTCTGTTGAAAACATTCAAAAATGGGTCACACTAACAATTCAAGTGCAATTTAGCTATCAACAGTTTTCATTTAGTACATGCAAATGCACTAAATGTTAAATATTAAACTACCTATTTGAAATTATCACAGGCAAATACAAATTCTACTAGTTTTCAAAATAAACATTTGATAAAACTATTTTCTAAATATACATTGAATTTATTTCCTTTTATCAAGACCTGCAAAGGTGTATAATATTTTGTACTAGTTTTTGGCAGTTACTTTTTACAAAAAATATGGGAAATCACAAACAGAGGTTTTCCTATTTTTAATAGGCATACTTACATTTTATACAAGTTTGGTTTTCTGATTTCAAAAAAATGGACCGCAGTTCGGATTCCTTCAAACCTTAAGGAAAAACAAAAGGAAAAGCTCCTCACTCCCGTGTCCTTGTCTGAAGCTCCACCTGAGCTTGAGGGAGTGTTTTATTGCACCTTTGACAAACAGACTTTAGCTTGCAGAACTTGCTCCGCCTCACAGGTGATGAGTCAGGTTTTTCTATGTCAGCCTTAGTGTTTATACTGTGCAATTGTGTCAAATCTCCAATCTTACTTCAATTACAGCTTTACAGTTTTAGCACAAGCATCTAACTGAAGTAATCAGTAACTGTTTCCTGTGCTACCTAAGACAGGAAGATTAAAAATAACTGTGGCCTAGCCAATTGGTTTTAACTGTAAATTGCAAATTTGTATTTGTGTATTTATTTGTACATATGGTGAAACCTATAGTTTAAGGTATGGTTCTTAGCTATTTATAAACTGTTCCCAATCATTTGCACGGGGTATGCGGGTATAGACAATGGATTGATGATTAAATAAAAATATTCACTTAAAAACAAATTTAGAACTGTATTACAAAGATATCTTTCCCCTGTCTCACAAAGAATAGTACTTGTAAATTACTTGTAAATAAAAACACTTTAGTAAGCATACAAAGGAATTAGTTATACATTGGCTTTAAAGATCTGCTCCTTTCCTATTAACTGTTACTAATCATTTGATAATATACAGTGGCAAAAAAAATATGTAAACGCTTTGGAATTACTTAGTTTTCTGATTAGTCATAAAATGTCATCTGATTTTCATATAACTTACAATAATTAACAAACGTGATCAGTTTCACCCAATAACACATTAGCCAATTCCATAAGAGCACTGAGCAACAGTGACTTCAAAGCACGTGATACTGATGGTGCATGAATCTGGTGATATTTTTTGACAGTTTTTGTCTTTTGTTTGCTCATTGTTTGACAAGGCAACAGTGCAGTGTAAAATCATATTAAAAACTAAGGAACATGCGCCTTTGGATTGTGCAATACAAAATATATAATACTGTCATAAATACTGTATAATGTTCAGAGCCTTTTTGTTAAATGGACACAAGAAATGACAAGAAGATAAGCACAAAAGTGGTAGTGGTTTATATATACACATATACACATACTCACCTATCACTCCAATCTCCATTCCATTCTCCTCTACCCCATGGATTCCAGATTCGAACCAGATTCACGGGTCTTCCATGGCTCATGACCTGCATTTGTTAGACATGTGATATATCTTAGGTGTGGGTGTGTTTGGGATTGAAGCAAATGGGTCTTCAGAGCTGAAGGAGAGGAAGTCATTGATTTAACCTCGGAAAATTAAAAACATCTAACAACACACCAGACAATATTGAATATTTATTGGTTGTGGAGCTTCTAATAAATGTATACCAGTGCAATTATGTGTTAGTGGTGAGCTTTCAACTTTCAACATTCAACTTTTTTCTCAAAAGTTTATTTCAGCTTTAATCTTAAACCTTTCGACTTTGATCTCAAAACTTTTGACTTTAATCATAAAATGTTTTATTTTTTGTCCTTTTAGGTGCTCTTCCCTACACCTCAGACTGGTTCTGCAGGTTTTTGCTGGTTGCTATACTGACCTCTGTAAATAGTTTCCAAAATGCCAGGCAATGATGTTGCATGGTATTGTAACTAAATAGACCCTACAGTGGAAATCACTATTTCATGTTAGTCTAGTTTATCAAAATCCATCAGTCAGCTATGTGTCTTTCTTAAATGAGCTGAGAATGCAATATTACAGTACTGTTTCCTATAGGCACATTTTATTTCAGTATCTGTTGCAAACCTTCCAGGTCCTTGACTGGTATAGACCTGCCTTGGTTTTTGTTGTGTCACATCCATAGAAAACCTATGAATCAGTCTTGCTATTACACTCTCAGGGAATCCTAATACCATTTCCAGACAGATTATGTCCAGTAATGTGCAATAATTACCTGCTGTAGCAACAGGTCAAACTCCATAAGATATACTGTACAAGGTCCAGAATGGTATAGTAGAAAACTTTCAGGCAACCAAGTTCTTTGACAGTTATAACCAATAAAAAAGGAAAAGCAACATTGTGATTGCAGTTTAGAAATTGTCATCTATAGAAAAGTGTAGTAATGTTTTTAAAGAAGATATTTCCTCTGTATGTGCGACACCCTTATTATGAAATCTTCCCAAGAGGATGGGCCAAACTCCCATTATAGTGTAGACATTGTCTATAGGAATTTGTAGTATAATATGCACAATAGATTGGTTGTCATTGTAAAGAAACAAAACAGTCATTACAAAAATAAATTCTTACCACATAGCACATGGGACAGTATTCTTGGAGAAGTACCCACAATTGATTGCACTACTTGGACATATTTGACCTTCTGATCCATTTAATCATATGATAAATTCAATGTAATTGAGGTCATGTGATTATCATAAAGACCATGTCATCATTTTCAGCTTTCCTTCACCTTTTTTCTGCAAGTACTTCAGACATGAAGTGACATAAAATACAAGGTATTTATTTTCTGGAAAATAGATTATAAAAATGCCGGCAAAGCTTTTCCATTGAAATGAGGTAAATGAAGCACATCTGTTAAATGTCGATTACATGTCAAAGATGTGAAATGTTCTAAATATCTAAGTACCAAGTACAGGTATTCAATTATGTCCGGGACACATCCTGAAAGTAAGGATGCAAGTCAATCCGGACATACAGTATGTCTTATCATTATAGTGGAGGGTGATTTTGCCATTGTGAAAACATCATAGAGTGAACTTACACAAACCTAGATGGTATAGCCTACCAGATAGTACACACCTAGGATATATGGTATAACCTAAGTAACGATAAAAAGTACAGTATAGCAAATACATAAACGAGTATCAAGTATTATCATGTACTGTACATAAATGTATGTGATATAGTTTTATCAGGGTTACCAACTTTGGTCAGCTGGCTGCTGTGAGATTTTCAATTCGAGACAAGTCTGCACACATATGCACACACATTTACATGCATTCACATATCTGTAAACAGTGTGCATGGTTTGCATATTACCCCAATGCTTTTGATAAACCTAATTTAAGTTTATAATGGAATAATATAGATTTTCTGTAAGATTTCTTGTGTAACCATGACAGTCTGAAAGCCTGAGTGTCATGCCAGATGCACAAGAGTTGGCAACCGTGGTTTTATACGATTAGTGCAGTAGGTTTGTTTACAGCAGTATCTACACGAACACGTGAGTATTGCATTACGCTATAATATGGAAGGGCAAAAGGGTCAAAACGCATTAGCTCAAAATTGACGTACACATTTTGTACATGTTAACGCGTGCTAATGTTAAGATTGTTCCCTTTCAGCCTTCCATAGATCCGTGCAAAATAGGATACGCCTGCCTTCCTCACCACCTTACCATCAAGAC